GGGGTGCTTGGAGCTTGCTCCACCCCTGCCACGGGTTGGCCCAGTATTGCAGTACTTCTGGGATCGGCCCACTCCCTTTATCAATATCAAAAATAGAAAAGTATAGTGTTCTTATGAGGCCTTTTTATATAATAAACTAAAAGAAATTATAGAGGTCAGTCAGTCATACAGCTTTCTGTGTGTGTGTGGAAGTAGAACTCTTACAACACTATCGTTTATTATTCTTAAGGTTTTTTAACGCAAACTGGAGTATTTTACTAGACATAATTATTGATGCAAATAAACTCCGACCTTTATCTCCAGAATATAATTTTATTTCGCTATTACAGCTTGATAATTTGGTTGCTATTAAAACACTTACACGTTCATGCAGTATGTCCATAGAACAAGATTAACTGATCCACACTTTATTAACTAACTTAATGGGCTTGTTTTTGACACAACTGTTTTCCATTGCTTGGGGACATACTTACTAAAGATTGCAAAGGATATTTAAACATTATAGGGAGTATTATGATTCGAAATAAATATATACCAGGCTGTTCACTGCTTTTCTTTCCTCAAGGAAATTATTGAGCTCAGTACTATTAATGAAGCAGCTTACAAAAAAAAAAGAGTTTAGTTGATGATCAGTGTCATTCACACACATATTACTTGTAAGTATTTGCACAGTAATGTTTGTTAATTTTTTTAAAGTCATTGGGTCTTTCTATAAAGCTTGCAAAGTTAAATAACTATTACTAATAATTTTGGCCTTAGTAATTAATTTGTTAACTAGTCCTGTGTTGTTGAAAGCAACTGGCATACAGTTTTTCTTTTAATTCGTTACCTACTTTCTTTTATTAATGTGTTATTCACTATTTCATTAGAGTAGTGCTGCCGTATAGCTTACCACTTCAAAATTTATTGACTTTTATGCATATACTATTTTGAAAGTTTAACACACTCCTCTGATTAAACGAAATTAAATATAGAACCTTTACTGAAACTAATAAACGTTAGTCTTTAAAAGTTCTACTTCCACACACACACACACACACACACACAGGTCACTGTGACATAGCAGATCACTACAAAATATTCCTGACTCAAATCTTTATTTATTGAAATATTATTTTAAGACTTATTATATTCAAGCAAATAAAATATCTTAATTATTTATTGAAAATAAACTATTTGTTAAATATAAATTCATCTTAAGAATATTGCTAGTGAAATCAAGATACCTACCTAGCTTCACAAAAGTAAGAGTGAACACATTTTTGTAAGGTCCAATTCTAGGTCACCAGTAAATAACTGTCAGTTCATGTCCTGTGTTGTACAGTTTGTAAGTAGAAGTAGTGACAAAATAAATGATCAAAAATAATATCTTAACGAATATCAGTCAAGTTTATATGTGTAATGGAACTTTCTTTTCAACAATAACAAAACTTAAATTCTAAAATGAGAAAAAGCTTATTGAAAATAGTGTCTTACAAAATGTCATTATTTGTAGAATGACATAGATATTAAATCAAGTTCTATGAAGTGCTTTAAGCAAAAACAGCATTTTTAAGGGCGTTTGTACTAAGTTTCATGCAATTTAGTTAAGTATTTCTACTGTGAAAAGACAAATTTCGAGGGATATTGGTAATGGTCCAATGGCCTAGAAAGGGTTAAGCAAAATCATAACTTTCCACAAAGGCACAGCAACAATAAAGATGCATATATATTTTTTAATATTTAAATTTTTTAACAAATCTGAGGTACTGCAGGCCTGAAAATAATTTAGAATTGAATGATGAGTTGTGAATGATGATATCGAGTAATAAGTAAAATGATCAGTCAAAGCAATCCCTTCAACTTTATTTTTTTTACTGCTTAACAAATCTGAGGTACTGCAGGCCTGAAAATAATTTAGAATTGAATGATGAGTTGTGAATGATGATATCGAGTAATAAGTAAAATGATCAGTCAAAGCAATCCCTTCAACTTTATTTTTTTACTGCTTAATAAATGCATATCTGAAGTACCTGATCGGTGTGATTTGATTTAAAACACAATTTCTTGATTGATAAAACAAATAGTTGGCTCACACCTTTTTATGATTTCGTTAAGATGAAGAAGTGTTTGTATTATTATAAAAAAACATTAAACTCTTATTTGAAATATCTGAGAATTTGCTATTTCATTTACGCTCATATTTTTCACAACATAAAAGTAATATAATTAGTTTTAGACTACCTCTTAATAACGAGCTTTTACAAAAGGACAGATGTAACTACAGTGTCGTGTCACAATGTTTTACTAAATTAGTAAGAAAGGTTCCTGTTTGAAATTGCTTTACTCATTTTATGAGAAAAAGAAAACTTAGTCATGAATGGTTTGACTAGTAATCTGGGAATTACTGCTTTTCAGCAATCACTTTTTTGTGGACTTAATGTTAATCAAAATAAGTTTTTGAATTTTTCTTCCTTTTTTATATTATCACATTGCTTATCTAAATGCAGAATGCATATATATACACACACACTCACACACTTTCTTGAAATTTTAGTCAACAGAAGTAAACATGTTTCCTTTACAGTTTTTCAATGCAATTGGAAGCCCATAAAACTATACAACTACTTTAGTTTTACAAAACAAATTGAGCTAGATGAGAACTTCATTTGATGTACTAATCATTATTTAATTTCCAATCTCTATAGATATATAGTTTAATAAGAGGGGGGGAAGGACATATTAGAAATATATTGTATATATATTTATTAACTATTTAGCAGGAAACACAAATCTTGCATATGTGGTCGAGTTGAAAAGATAAATAGGTTAGTTGTTACATGCACATAAATAGTACTTAGCTGTGGGTATGACCTTTAATAATTTGTACAAATATTTATAATTATAAGTATGATAATAATATTTTTTAAAACATATACATGATACAAGTACATTATTATATATATATTAATTAACTTTAATTTTAGTTTGATATTGTTTTAATTGGACTATTATTTATTTTTGTATTCCTAATGTTTTTATAGAAACCTATTCATTGTTAATGATTGTGGAATGGCTAATTGCTGACATCTTTTTGAAAGTATGTTCTTAAAAATGTATTCAAAAGTCAGGCTCTCATTATGAATAAAAAAAGAATGTGTATTAGCCTATAAGTTATTCAAGTCCAAAATATCATCCTTCTAGGTAAGAATCCATGTGAAGGTAAAATTACATGTGAAGATGGACGATGTATTCCTGTAGAAATATGCTGTAATCCTTTATTAATCTCAGATTGTCCAAAGAATTATAGTGTTTCAGTTTGTCAAAAGTTTTCCCCAATAGGCAAGCATCCAAGTAGTCTTACTACTTTCTTTTTTCATGAAGAACTGAGTTATTATAAATCTTAATCTTTATTCATGATTATAATGAACCGTTTAGATTATTTTATTTGCAGTTGATTTTATCGTCAACAAATACAAAAGTTTTAAAGATATTGAATGATGTTTTGGATTGTTTCAATTTTCTACTGCCAAATTGCATCAATTTCAGGCACCATCTAGTGCACATAGATAGATTGTTGTTTTTTATTTCTGTCATGAAGTTTGTGATCACTTCTGTTGTTTGAACATGATAACTTGCTAGGTTTCGTTAGGGTAAGCCAATTAATCAAATATATTTTGCTCAGAGAAGTGATTAATAAACATGAAACAATATATAACTATTTATTACTGTTAATTTAAAAAGAACACATAAATACTGGTTTTGCATCTTCCACGATACTCTTCAGTTTCTAGAATAAGTCTCTCTCTCTCTATAACAAGATGTACGTTAAAATAATTTAACTTAGTAACTTAACTTATTGGTTAAACATTAATTGTTTTTTTTTATACACTTCAAGGCTTTTAATGTCAGGGAAGGTAAATAAGATTGAAAATCGTTGTAATTTTCTTGTGATACTCTTCAAAGATAGGTAATTGCTTTATTATAGTCAAAAGTTTCTTTGTAATTAAAATTTGTCCAAACATATTTTAAAAAAAGTATATATCTGTATATAAAATATATATCTGTATCTTTTTATAAGCAAGATTAATTTTTTCTCTGTGGGTAACCAGTTTGATTTCCAATATAAAAGGAAAGTGTCAAGTAAGTGCATACAAAAACTTTATTTTTTTTAAAGGGAAATTCAGAAAAGTGACATTTTTGAAATAGTGTTTAGGAAACCAAATTAGTGACAAATGAGACATCTATCATTCTGCTCAGAATTATATAAGTGGCCTTTGCAATCGTCTAGAACATGCGAAATGAAAACACATTGAAAAGTTAGACCTAAAACTTGGTGAATTGCCACAACAGTGCTGTAGATAATTGGGATGTTTGTGTTTTTCATTTATGCTTATCATTTAATGTGTTCTTAACAGTAACGATACTTCTCTAAAGCTGTACTTTCTGTCAAACTTTTCTTGTGGTTTTTATAAAAATTATTGTCAGTTTCTTGGTTGTGATGATGTCATCTTAGTCATGATAATGCACATGTTGACAATACTTCAGTTATGTGTTAAGATAAGCAGAATCTTTTCTAACCATGCTGTGTTTTTGTATTATTTTACTTTTAGGATATTAGGGTCTTGATTTTCAGAATGATGATTTCCATAAATGTAGGATTTGAATTTCCATTACAGACTATAGACCTTACCCTTATGTTCTTGACAGAAATACACAGAGGCCTATATTATATACAACAGAACTTCTATAAAAGAAATAATTAGCAATATATCAATGGGTTTGTTCTTAATGGTTGTTACTAGAGCATCTATATGTAATTCTCAAACTCTTGAGCATATCTTGTAACATGTTCTACAACTTAATGATTCTTAGGCAGAAAGTTGATTAAAGTGTTGCATTCCTTGGCAGTGTGTGAGTGCATACTGAACTATGTTATACATAAATTAGACTTTTAGAGAAAAAATTCACTTGTAAAAACTATGGTAAGAATTTATTATCTTGGCAACGTTTTGAGCAAATGCTTTTTTTCAATCCAGAAACAAGCCTAACAGTTAATGAAAATTACAGGAACATTTTGAAATGAAACAATACACAAAACAGAATGTAATGCAAGATAGAACTACGAAAAGTAAACAGTATAATAAAACTGGTGATTTAAAAACAGTATTAAAATTATTAGATATACAGAAGAACTTTACATAGCAGAGAGAGAAATAACTTAAGATAATAAATGAAAGGTATTTTTGCGTCAGCGAGGTCACGTGACTAGTGTCACGCCCCCTGCTTTCTGGAAATATCTTGTACCTTCGTGAATTGTCGTGAGATTACTAGATATAGGGTATTCTGGTATATATAAGAGGGTGACAACGTGACGGAATAATAGTGTGTGTGTGTGTAGGTAGTGAGTAATGGAACTGCAGTCAGGAAGTATTGTTGAAGTTAACGTTCG